CCAAAACTTTTCAAAGAAATAGCAAAGTTGTACAATTTACAGCACTGCAATCTCTGATATTTCTTTGAAAAGTTTCTGTAAATATTTTTTATATTAAGAAGTGAATAGATTTTAATGAAAGTTATATTAAATTAAAGTACACTCTTTTTCCTACGTGTAAAATAACTTATCGAGTTATAAATTGATTTGCAAAGGTTCACGCTATATTTTTTAGACATTAGTTAGACAGATATTCATAGAGATTTCCACGGAAATCTGTATCTTTTTTGTTTCCTATCGTATCGAAACATTTTTACGAAGGTTTAGAACGAAATGTTCTTTACGTGTATGGGTTGTTTGGGGAGGGAGGGGTTGCGTATGGCTGTGTGTGTCTGTCCTGAGACTGTATTCTTTTCAACGTTGTTTAAATAGTAATTTGATATTTTATAGAATATCAAAGTATTATGTTCAATGCCTAGGAAACACTGGAAGAGTTTTTCAATATCCGGCTTCGTCTGAAGGTTCTTTACATTCATAGTTATGCCGAGGAATTACTAGCAATGACTGATTTCCGGCTTTGACGGTAACATATACAATATATAAAAAATATATATATAGAAAGAGAGATAATCGTTTATAATTTTATACAATATTATATTCTTTTATATCTTAATTTTTTTTTTTCAGAATTTGTAAAAACAATACAGAAATCTAATTCGCGATTTAACTTTTAATTCTTATTATTTTTTTTTTATATTTTCACTTTTGTACAGTTTAAAAAAAATTTTTAAAAGAAAAAATATAATTATCTCTACATATAATCGTTATAAATTTATTAATGTTTAAATTTCTTCTTATATAAGAATTTTTTATTACAACGACGACGAAGTAAAGCTCGTAATCCAATATTTGATAAGGAAGCTGATCAAAGTTTGTCTTTTAAAAGCTCTATCTCATCAACATAAATATATATATATATTGTAAGTACTTCCTGCATTATTTTACTTTACGGAGTTTCTTGAAAAAAATGCATCCAACAATTAATCATATATTATACAAGTAATTACATTTAATATTTAATAAAAAATATGTCAAAAGTTATTAGATGATGTAAAAATATAAAAGAGAATTGAAAAATAATAATTAATTGTTTAAATCACCAAGGAGAAAATTTATCACCCAGACTGTATATTTTGTTGACTCGTCGGAAAAATTATTAAAAAATTAATGACGAATTTTCTCGTGACTTGGAAATTCATACTAATGCATATAAGTTTCTGTGTACGTATTAAAGTAAGTTCGTCTATCTTTGCAATTAATCTAAATGGCCGAGTAAACTGTGAAAAGGTATGTTCACGTTAGATTAAATTAGAAAATGAATGAGTCAAGTTACAACATATATATTTTCATTCTATTTCCAAACATCTTTAAAATCGATATAATTATTTTTAAAATAATAATAATAATACTAATAATATATAAATAAATAAATGAATTTATATAAAAATTTAATATTAATACTTCCTCCCAAATATATGATATTTAATAATGTTAATATCTAATCGTAATAATCTAATAAAAAAACAAAATATATATACATATATAAATTTTTGAATATTTTACGTTATATGAAATATTTAATAAAACAATTTGAATTTTAGTCAAAAGCATTCGTTTCGAGTGTAAAAAAAGATTCCGATTGAAAAATTCCTCGATATACGTACCAACAACACATACACACACGCATATAACTTAACTGATTTTCGATTTCAAATTGAGCACGTTCTATAGAAATCGCATTGATGACGTAGAGAGATTTTATCGATTCTAACTTGAAGTTACGTGCGTGTACGTACATGTAGGTGTATGCGTGTAATATCAAACGAAGTAATATAGATGCATAAACAGACATATACATTCATACACACATATACATATATTATACTATACATATAAATAGATACGTGTTCGATCTAGATTTTCTCGACTAGATTTTCAAGATTTTCTAGATACTTTCTCAAATAAAAGA